GGAGTGGATTTTTTTTTCCGGCATTAGTATCTGTATCTGTTGGTTTGGAGTGGAGGCCATCGACTGTGGTTCCACTCCAGGAATGACTGGATTTGGTGTACGATTTCTGCCATTTCCTGCCAGTTTTTTTCCTTCCTGGCACTAAAAAAAACCTCTCCCTCTTGAGTGGCTGTGGCTACCCAGGTTTTCCCATGGCCTGGATGTTTTGTATCTTTTTGTACCCTTTAGATGGTATGCCTGGCAATTTAAGTTATAGCACAGTCTTTCCTGTACTGAAGAGGTACACATTTCGGGGTGAAAAAGCTTACAGGAAGGGAGTTTGCATTTTCCTGTTGTCATATGGGCATGGCATTTTCTAGGGTGGTCATAGTTGCACGTCCCGTCTGTTTTTCCAGATTTCCCATGTCTGCAGATACCAGGTGGTGGGAGATGACCTGTGTCCCTCCGACCAGTTGACAATCACTTGACTTTAGGTTCCCTTCAAGTCTGTAAGTATCCAATCTACTCCTGTTTAATAATATATTTTGCGTTTTGTTTAATTTGGTTTAAACAAGAGCTTCACTCTTGTTTAAATATAAACCTAAACCAGAGCTTCAATCTTGTTTAGGTTTATATTTTTCTATTTCAACCTGACTATAAAGGTTTATCAGCCCTATCAGACCCTCAGAGTATTTGAAAAGGCTGGTTCCTCTTTATGGAAATGAAAAGATAGAAAATCAATGATAACATAATAAAATAAACAATTTTATTAATGTGTAAAACTAGTAAAGAATATACAACACTTAAACATGAAGTTAATCCTACTTGAAGCAAAGACACACACACACACACACACACACACACACACACACACACACACACACACACACACACACACACACACACACACACACACACACACACACACATAAAATATATAAATAGTGACTCAAAGCTAACATGTACACAATACGTAGAGGAGAATGGTGCCATGCTGATGTTCTGGACACGTACCTCTGAATCCAGGTTAACAACGGGGGGGGGGGGGTGTCACAGGTGAATGTGACTGTTGAAGATATACATAAAAAAAGCGTTCCCTATGAGTTAACGGATTTCCGATTACCAGAAAATTTTACCTCATCATGTAATCAAGTTAAAAATATTCGTGGCCATGTGTGCTGCAGATCACAAGAGTAAAAAATGACCGTGCATATTCAAGATATTAAGGCAGATAAAATGCAAAACAAAATAAGAGAGGCGGCCATCAGGTACCCAGAGGTTGATGAAAATTAGACACATATGAAACATCTGGGTATCTTTACATTAAAGATACCCAGATGTTGCATATGTCTAATTTTCATCTTGTTACTGTATACCATTCGTGTACTACCCAGAGGTTGTTGAAGCTGAGGGAAGTCCTGACGGTGATCTTGGACGGAGTATTGCGACACACAGTGGAGTTAGGGATCATAGATGAGAGCCAGTACTCGTACAGACCCGCCTCCACTATCGCCTTCAACCTTCCAGGGATAGAGACGTGATGAGGTTCTAAACTAAATTAAGCTGTTCGGAATGTATATAAAGGAAGAATACTGGAAAAAAATGAATTAGACGTATGGGCAACGTTTCGCCAACCAGTGGCTTTATCAGTACAATACAGAAGACTGAAGAGGTTTTATTGATAAAGCTACTAGGTGGCGAAACGTTTACTTAATGACGATACCCAGTGGTTGCATATTTGTCTAATTCTTCAACTTGTCGGTATTATATACCATTGAAGTATAAGTACTGGAAAAATGCCGAAATATACATAGGATCAATTATGTTGTTAATAATAAGTATGTAAAACACACTGGAGTGCAATAATGAGGTTTGATGTTGCTCCAAAGATAGCACTCAGAATTTAGGTTTAATGAATGTGACGGGTTCCAGACAAAATCAGAAGCTGAGTGTTAAGTTTGACACTAAGCAGAAGCTCAGAAAACATTAGAAACCCACTGCAGACGACAGGAGGTTTTAAGTTCTTAACGGTAATTATTTTCTTAACATCTGATTAGGTTAGGTAAGGTTCATCAGGAAACAGGACAAGTGTTTCCTGACGCGGGTCTTTGTCAGATGATGACCCACCGTTGGAGGTTTTGGTCATCTGACCGAAGCCTTCCGCTGGCTTACCGGTCCACCCCTTTATAAATTATGGTCCCAGTTATAACCATTATTTTTTAACATCTGAACTACATATATGCTCATTCAAATAACTCATCCCCGAAATTTTGTTCAGTTTTTTTTAGTAATTAAATTTGCTGTCATTTTTTTTTTATCGTATGCCTTTCTATTTTATAATAAAAATTATGCTTCATTCTGAGGACATACGATAAAGATTATTTGATCTTAATGCAAGTGTGATCAGTCTGGTAATTTTACAACTTTCCCGGAGGGTCGAGTTTCCTGGACAACGCCACTCATAAATGCACATATCACCATAAAAGTCATTACATTACGTATAGCTGGTGACCCTTTTGGGTTTAGCTCTTAGTTATAATTATAATAAATACAAATAGCTGAGTCTCCATTGACGATATCAACTCCATCTTTGGCTGCTGCACCCCTCAAGGACGGTTCCCTGATGCTGGTGAGGGGCTCTTTATCTAGGGAATTGGATCTGTTCTCCAGTTCCCTGAATTAAACATGAATACCTTCCACATTCCCCCTCAGGCGCTGTATACTCCTACGGGTTTAGCGCTTCCTCCTTGATTAAAATGATAATAATTTGGCTGCTGCAAAATCCCTACCTTTACAAACAATAGGTGACTCGTGTCCTTTCACCTGCTATTGCATTGCTCTTTAACAAATCGCTAGAAACTAGCACTTTCCCGACACTACTCAAAACAGCAAGGGTTACAGTGACTACACCAATACATAAAAGTGGTGACCCCCAAAGATGTAAACAACTTTTGGCCAATATCAAACTTACCGTTGCTATCCAAAATCTTCGAGAAACTCGCGCACAAGAGATTATATTCATTTATAACAGCACAAAGCATTCTCAACCCCTGCCAGTTTGGCTTCAGAAAAAATAAAAGCACAAACGACGCAATTGTAAAAATGCTAGACCTGCTTTACACAGCGCTGGAAAATGAGGAATACCCATTAGGACTCTCTATTGGCCTAAGGAAAGCTTTTGATACACAGCATCCTGATCCATAAACTTGACCACGCACTTACATATTTCAAATCCTACTTTACTAACAGATATCAGTACGTCTCTATTAAGGATACAACCTCATCGACACGACCACTTGATACTGGAGTGCCGCAGGGAACTATCCTTGGTCCCTTGCTCTTCCTCTTATACATCAATGATTTCAATGCATAACAACAACTGAAACCTATTCTCTTTGCTGACGACAAGACTTGTGTCATTTCCCACATATGCAACACTTGGGTATCTTTATTGAGGAAACGTTTCGCCACACAGTGGCTTCTTCAGTCCATACAAAGGAGAATCGTGAAGAACAGGAGGAGTTTGAGGTAATCAGTCCCTCAGCCTGCGTCGATGTGATCAGTCCATCAATCTTGAAAAGAATACATATGGGCGAAGAAGTGGCTTATACACTGTAGGCAGTTGGAGAGGTGAAGCAGTCGTAGGAGGTATCACATTTGCCCAATGTGGAAGTAGATCGTGTCCAAGGGTTAGGCAAGTGAAGAATTCCCAAGTATTAAGATCCCAAGAAGTTGCAGTGTCAGACAGGATTGTAGATGAATGGTTCAGAGAACCGACACGTTGATAAATTAGACACATGTGCAACTCTTGGGTAAACCTCAACGAAAATTTGATGTACATAAAAGGGCCCAAAATCTGGAACTCCCTGCCAGAAAACTCTAGAATCGCAGACTCGGCCACTATTTTCAAAACTACCGTTAAAAAACATCTTCCTAACACACCCCATCATTAGCTAACCAAATGAAAACCACCTAATTTTATTTTTTGCATCATGAACACATCCAAAACAATATAGTCTTACTCTCATTATCTGTAATTCCCCCTAATTTACACTTACACTCGCCCAAATGACTGTAAACATAAAATTCCTAATATAGCTATTGCCTATTAAATCTTAAGTTAGTCCTAAGTTTGCCTAAGAAACTCTTCCATTATAAGAGCTGTAACAGAAACAATCATGCCAAGACAAATCCAGACCTATTACTAAATTTACCATTTGTAATATTATTACATGACTGTACTACCTCACTATTATAAAGCTAATTATGTATGTACCTAACTAGGTACATACATACATAGCTTCTTCGCCAGAACTGCGCTTCGGTTGAGTCCTTGGGACATCGTGACCTCGTGACCGCTTCCTTTCTGAAAAAAAGCCATGCGGTTCCGTGTGCCTCTCTCATGACTCGAGGGATGGATGTCTCCTCTGTCCGCTGTGTAGTAGAGAAGCACTACTGGCTTACCCTGGCTAGTAGGTAAACACCAGTAGTTCTTCACCGGGATGGAAGGGGGAGTTGACGGTCAAAAACCCAGAGTATATTGACAGATAACTACTTATTTATCCATAATTATACCGGCTACACTTATTCCTCAGACTTCACTACACATTATTTTATTCTAAATTATGTAATAAACGAAAATTATGTTCTATTTCACTAATCACCACTACAAATATTGTGCCAAATTGTAATACACAGTCACATAATGTCATATATCATTTAGTAAATTGTTGTATACTAATGTCAAAGTTTGTCAACTGAAGCATTATCGTTAATTAACTTTAAATGAGCAATTGTTCAATAGTTATAACTTTATTTTCAGGCTGCTGGAAATATTCTGCATAACCAGGAGCTTTCTATAAAGTATGTCAATAATATTAAGCAATCCTATATCAACTGTATACTTATGGGAAAAAAATTATCGTGTGACTAGGTACGTCACCCAAACCTCGTCTTCCATGTGAGTGTAGAACCCTCGCACGATGTAAATGACAGGAATGAAGAACCTTTCCTGTGAGTGATCATGCAGTGGGTGATGATGAGCGTGGATGCATCTGTATCCCGCTCACCTGATGTTCATGAGAGGGATGAGTGGGCTTCCCTTGCTGGCGATCATGCAGTATGTGGAGGTAACGAGGGTCTGACCTGCCTTGTAGAAGTCACAACTTCCTGAGACAACACCACGGCAAGGAGAGAAGAACCGAATATAATTAACTACATTTAAGAACCTTCCAGGAAGAGAGAGACAGACACAGAGATTACGTGGGAAGATCATCCTCTGGACTACATCAAGACTTAATCACAGCCTAGCTCTTCAAAAGTTAAGGTTAGTGGAGGAGTGCAGAAGGCTCTCCCCACCTTCCAGACACTAATGTCTTAATAAAGTGACCGAACTGATAAATATAAAGTAAAATATTCATATATATTTAAAATAAAAAATGAACACAGACGTTTTACTACTAAATTTTACTTACTCCCACAACCTTACTACCAAAAACACTTACTACCACAACACTTACTACCACAACACTTACTACCACAACACTTACTACCACAACACTTACTACCACAACACTTACTACCACAACACTTACTACCACAACCACTTATCCACAACACTTACTCCCCACAACACTTACTACCACAACACTTACTCCCACAAACTTACTACCAAAAACACTTACTACCACAACACTTACTACCACAACACTTACTACCACAACACTTACTACCACAACACTTACTACCACAACACTTACTACCACAACACTTACTACCACAACACTTACTCCACAACACTTACTGCCAAACACTTACTCCCACAACACTTACTACCACAACACTTACTACCAAAACACTTACTCCCAAAAACACTTACTACCACAACACTTACTACCACAACACTTACACCACAAACATTACTCCCCACAAAACTTACAACCACAACATTATACCACAAACTTACTACCAAAAACACTTACAACCACAACACTTACTACCACAACACTTACTCCCACAACACTTACTACCCAACACTTACTACCACAACACTTACTACCACAACACTTACTACCACAACACTTACAACCACAACACTTACTACCACAACACTTACTACCACAACACTTACTACCATGTTGGTATGTTGGTTTGCGTGCAGCCAGCAGCAACAGCCTGGTTGATCAGGCTCTGATCCACCAGGAGGCCTGGTCTCAGACCGGGCCGCGGGGGCGTTGACCCCCGGAACTCTCTCCAGGTAAACTCCAGGTAAACCACAACACTTACTACCACAACACTTACAACCACAACACTTACTACCACAACACTTACTACCACAACACTTACAACACAACACTTATACCACAACACTTACAACCACAACATTACTACCACAACACTTACAACCACAACACTTACAACCACAACACTTACAACCAAAAACTTTACTACCACAACATTTTACAACCACAACACTTACTACCACAACACTTACTACCACAACACTTACAACCACAACACTTACTACCACAACACTTACAACCACAACACTTACTACCACAACACTTAAAAACCACAACACTTACTACCACAACACTTACTACCCAACACTTACAACCAAAAACACTTACTACCACAACACTTACAACCAAACACTTACTACCACAACACTTACAACCACAAACTTTATTTACCACAACACTTACTACCACAACACTTACTACCACAACCACTTACTACCACAAACACTTCTACCACAACACTTACTACCACAACACTTACTACCACAACACTTACTACCACAACACTTACTACCACAACACTTACTACCACAACACTTACTACCACAACACTTACTACCACAATTGAACCTGCATAGTTTATAAGCACTCTAGACCATGGTTCCCCGTGCCTGGCCAAGATAGTACAGGAGATGAAATTGGCTGAAAAGTCTTAAAACAAATCGGACAATTCTTGGCCAGTTCCGCGGTCTTGGTCAAACTTTGGCCACTAGACCCACTTTCCTTGCTTCTGCTTTCATAGCATTGATACCATTATGACCAACATGTAAATACACTAATATCTTACATCTTAATTCTACCGGAAGAGATAAGATTTCGTTCGGATTTTTAACCCCGGAGGGTTAGCCACCCAGGATAACCCAAGAAAGTCAGTGCGCCATCGAGGACTGTCTAACTTATTTCCATTGGGGTCCTTAATATTGTCCCCCAGGATGCGACCCACACCAGTCGACTAACACCCAGGTACCTATTTGCTGCTAGGTGAACAGGACAACAGGTGTAAGGAAACGTGTCGAAATGTTTCCACCCGCCGGGAATCGAACCCGGGCCCTCCGTGTGTGAAGCGGGAGCTTTAGCCACCAGGCCACCAGATCTGATTTGACAAAAGCATCGTCAGATAAAGGTCCACTGTTCTTACACCAACCATATTTAACATTATTTACTACCTGGGCTAACACAGCGTCTTTCCCAGTTTGCTCTTTGATCTCAAATGAGATGTCTTAGAAATCCAAAAACTTTACTGACCTTACATATTCCATAGGTGTACTTGACTCTCAGCGGGTAATGTACTTAATGCATCTGCAATAACATTTTCATTGCCAGTTTTGAATAACAATTCATAAACATACGGAGTTAATAACAGAGCTCAAAGCTGAATTCTGGCATTTACATTGACTGGAATATGTTTTCCTTTTCCAAATAAACCTAGTAATGGTTTATGATCTGTTCGAGCAACAAACTTTCTCTCTGGCAGGAAATATCTGAATTTCTTCACAGAAAATACTAAAGCTAGATTTTCTTTGTTAAGTTGAAAATAATTCTGTTCTGCCGGAGAAAGTTTCTTACTAGCAAAATACACCGTTTTCTTTACTGGCCATTTTTTTCCCTGGATTGAAGATTTTTTTTCGGTTTTTTTAACCCCCGGGGGGTTTTAGCCCCCCGGGGATAACCCAAGAAAGCTAGTGCGTAATGAGACTTTTAACTTTTCCCTTTGGGGGGTCCCAACCCTTAGTCCCCCCGGGGTTTCACCCCACCGTCAAACTAACCCCCAAGGTATTTTTTTTGCTGCTGGGTGAAAAGGAAACAGGTGTAAGGAAAGCTTTGACCCCCTCCCCGGGGAATCAAACCCGGGCACTCCGTGTAGAAGCGAGGTTTTTGCCCCCGGGGGCCCACCCAAAAGGCCAAAACACCAAAAATTTTTTTAAAGTTGTTTCCTCCTGTAAAATTCAGTCAACGGTTTTGAAATAAATAACCCTTTTTTTTAACCCTTCGAGCACCCTCCTCTTAAATGAAAAACACTAAAATTTAACCCTTTTTTCAATAACTCAGGGACAAAATTAAATAAAAATTTCATAAAAAAATCACGATATGTTTTGTCACCACCCCCAAAAAGGGGAGGGGAATTTTTCCCTTTTGGACTTGGGGGAGGGAAAAATTTTTCAAAGCCTCAGCCCTTATTGGCGGGTTTTAAAACCCCCAGTTATTCAATAGTCGGGTTTTTCAACCCCCTGATTTATTCTTATTCAGTCCCTTACTTTAACCCCTTTTTAAAAAATTCTTCAACACCTGCCTGATCCGGGGGGTCAAGTCAGCTTCTGTGGCTCCCCTTGTGATATTCAAATTTTGGAAATACCCCTGACCCTAACAAACAATTGTGGGTTTTTAACAAATAAATCTGTTGGCTTCTCTTTTACTGGTTTTTCCTGCAAATACGCACCCTTTAAAAAACCAAACTTTTGCCCAAAAATTCTTCCCCCCTGGTAAAAAAAATTTTCTCAAAAGGTCGTCATTTTTCAGAACAACAAACCCCCAAAAATTGACTTTAGTTGAATTTTTGGGCAAAAAAGACAAAAAACCCAAAAACCCATGCACCAACAGGGAATACAGTCACAAAAACCCCAAGGGCCCAAAGGGAAACCAAGGCCTGTGCACATACTTTTAAATTTGGGGTATCTGCAGAAAAAGGGAAATCTAAAAAAACAGAGGGGAAGAGTTTATGCCCCCCTTGAAAAAGCTGTCCCCAAATGACAACAGGAAAATGAAACCCCCTTTCCCTTTAAAAGCTTTTTTCACCCTGAAATGGTACCTCTTCAGTACAGGAAAGACTGTGCTATAATTTAAATTGCCGGGCCCACCTCTAAAGGGAAAAAAAGATACTAAACATCCACCCAGGGGATGGAAAACCTGGGTAGCCACAGCCCCCAAAAGAGGGAGGGGTTTTTTTTTTAGTGCCGGGAAAGGGGAAAAAAAAAAAACTGCGGGAAAATCAGAAATCTTTAAAAACCAAATCCAGTCTTTCCCTTTGGATTTTAACCAAAGTCGTTTGGCCCCCACTCAAACCAACAGAAAAAAAAACAAAATTCCGGAAAAAAAAACCCCCCCCCGGGTACCAACAATCCCACCATCCGAGGGAATTTCCCTCTTTGCAAATATACGGGGTTTTAAAACCCCGCAAAAAAAACCAAAATCCCTTTTTAAATCGGTGGACTCCCTTGCAAGGCAAAGGCCAATTTTTCCCGGGTTTTTCACTAAACCCCCCACAAAAAGGATCATTTTGGGAAAACAACGAAATATGGATCCCAGGTTTTAAAAATTTCCCAAAATAACATAAAAATTTAATTCTCTAAATGCCCCCAAAAACTTTCAAAAAACCCCAACCCAAAAGACACATGGGAATCCCTTTTGAATAAAGAGTACCTTTGTTACATTTACGGGGAATGATTCCCAAGGCCACAGATACTGAGTGATCACCAGGAGAAACTGAAAACGGATTTCCCCCTGTACAAATTATTCCCAAAATAATAAAATCCATCATACTGAAACCCCCAAACGAACACTGAACACTTTCCAAACCCCGGGTTCGCCAAATGGGGGGAAACCCCTAGCCAGAAACCCCTTTTGAGGGTCGACCACTGGCCCCCAGGCAGCTGGGAAATGCACGCCCACTACCCCTTCTGAGCTGCGCCTTCCCCCAAATAAAAACCCCTACTTAATAAAAAAAATATTATGCGTAACAAAACCCAAAAAACCCCCTTTGGGGCCAACTTCCTTTTTTCCCCCCCCTCTCCTCCCCCCCTCCTTCAAATTCCTTTTTTTCTACCCTTTCCTTCCCCAACTTCCCAAAGCTCGGGTTTAAACACTATTATTAAA